AATTTGCGTGTATGCAAAAACGCATAAAAACGCAAATTTTTTGGATGCAAATTTCCAGTCCACTAAAAAGTGGAATTATTGCTCGAGCGGTCGTTTGTCAAAAAATCCAAGTATGCAAAGGAGCCAATGTTCATTACATATTTGGATGAAAGCGATTGCTCGCTGCAAAACGCACGCGTTTCTGATTTTCCGTAAAGTTGAGTATTTCACATGCCCACTTGCAGGAAATTTCATTTCCAGGTAGAATTAAGACCGCACTTGAAAGCAGAATACTCCAGCGAAGTTTCACTTTTGCATCTTACCTGGTAAGCGAAGCCACTTCGCTACAAATAACTTTGAAGTGTCCTAAGTCGTGGGCAAGTGAAAATCGATACTCATTTTAAGTACACGACTTCTCATACGAGCGATAAACATGCAGAAAAAATTTCTGCCACTGTTTTCCGGCAAGTTTTCGAGTTTTCGGCAACTCTAACGTGATCGTACACCCTTCAAGAACCTGCACAACAGCTGAATCTGAAATCTCCAACTCGCACATGCACAGAGAATATTCCTACAAAGTTTCAGCTTTGTAACTTACCTGGCTCGCAAAATCATTCCCCGCCAAAAAAATATGCATATTTTTTTCGAGGGACCGTACACGAAGTTCAAGCACGTGTGGGGGAAGATCTTGAAATGGGAGGGTGAAACACGGGGCAGGAACATATGCTCAAAGTTTCAGCCTCCCAGCTTTTCTGGTTGCTGAGATGAAAGCGGGTGGCAAAATGCACTCGCTTCCAAACACACACAGACAGCCTCTCGACAATACGCGCTTTTGCTGGCTGTAGCAGCGCTATAACGCTGCTATGGCGCTGCACAGCAAAAACGCATAAAAACGAGCCAATTTTTTGGCAGAAATATTCAGAAAGCCAATCTGTATAGTTCACACGTTTCATAGATTTTTATGCGTTTTGTGCTGTGTAACAGCAGTACAAAACGCATATTATTACGGGGTTGTCTGTGT